TGCAACTCATTAACAACCGCTGCCCACTAATAATTGCAAGACTGCACAAACGCACTGGGTGAGTAAATAGGAGCCTAAAGAAAAAATCAAAAGAAAGCACAAATGAAGAGAAAATACTTTATCCCCAGGCAAGTTGAATTCAGCATAAATAATGACATGTTAGGAATGACGGTAGACCCTCGGAAAACTCAATTTACAAGTAGACGTATAAAAATCATGCACATATTTACATAACAGTTATGTCAGTCATTGGTTTCAAGTAAATATTTGACCATCAAGCATTAAGTTATCTAGTCTTTTTTGAAGGTCTCAACGTTTTCTGCTAAGACAATGGAATTTGGCAATTTGTTCCATCCTTCAACCGACCGGTGGAAGAAGAATGTGACCCGCACTTCAAGTTTGGCATAGTTTGTCTTCAATTTATATTGGTATCCTCGAAAATTGGTCGTTCGCACTAGTTCGAAGAAACCATCAAACTGAAGAGCACAGTCTAGCCGTCGGACGATCCTGAAGGCCATGTTCATACCCCCTTTGTATTGTCTATATGAAAGAAAAAACATTTTTAACTTTTCTAGGCGTCTTTCACAAGGTAAGCAACTTGATCCGCCGGCCAACTTGGTTGCTATTTGTTGTACGTTCTCCAGCAGGCCGTAATCTCGTTTCGTCCAGGGACACCATGCCTGAACGCAATATTCCAACATTGGCCGAAAAAAAGTCTCCCATACTCGGTCGAAAAGCCCTTCATCAAATTGAGGAAAGGTCTCCTAATCGCGCCTGGGATACCCATAACCTTCTTTGATACCTTGGCGCAGTGAGGCGATGGTTTGAGAGTCGACGTCATCCACACACCGAGGTCTCTTAACTCGTTGTCTGATTCGAGTTGGTCACCTCCTATAAAGTAGTGAGATTCAAATCTCAACGGCCTCCTGTTGCTAGATCGAAATCGGATGGGTTGGCATTTGTTAAGATTGGGGCTAAGACATCACTCATTACACTATTGTTGCTAACGTTGAACACTTTTTTACCAAGTGAGTTTTAACCCCGGAACACTGATATTTGTCTTAGCTAGAACGTTGCCGGCTTACAGGCCTTGGTCCCTTATGATTTCGTAGATTACAAAAGGGACTATTTTTCATATTTGAACTTTTATATAATCATACATTCAACACACCCACTACTTTAAGACATCTTGTCCACCCCCGACGTAATAGTCCTCGTGAGGTATTTTTATTCCTTCCTCTTGCACGCACCGTTAAATATCGTCGATTATTTTCTGTAAATTCATTTGCTATTTTCGCCTGTACCCTCCAAAATATAGAAAACCACCATTAGCTGTATTTTTTCCTTTTAACAGCAGTTTTTTCACTGCTGTCCGGATTTGTGTTTAACGCTTCCTTGGCAATGCCTGAAAACCGACATCATATACAATTACAATCACTTTTGTCATGTGTGGAGATGAGACTTGGGTAGCCTACATGTATTAAGCACGGAAACTCAATCACTTCCACCTCAGATGCTTTCCGATAATCCCAAGACTGAAATGGGAAAACATGATCTCGGTCATGGATGATTTAGGTGGAATCGGAATCCTTGGTGCTTACGCCACGCTAGGGCTATTACGGCAGCGGCCGTCTCGTGAGAACAGACGATGGGCAAATTCCCAGACGACTCTTCCATGTAAATGTCGCTACGATGGCTCTTAGACTATGAGGCTAGACACGCTGCCATGAGAATACCTTGAAGTATACTTTGAAGCCTTTACAAGTCGACACCAAATTCTGGGAAAATTTCCACGGGACCGACCGGCCTGAAAATGTGCAACAAATACATAAACAGCAATTTATGAAGCAACACGGACAGGTGTTGCCAATTCACAAGGTTTTCTCATATGCCCAAAGCGCCCCCAATTCAAAACGCCAACTCTTAAACTCTTCCAAAATGCCGTCGAACATTCCATGGGCGGACTGACCTCCTCGGGCATCTCTTGACCCGGAGCAACCACAAACCGGCAAGCCCGAATACTGCCTTCAAAAACTTCCCCGAATCGTCACCCCTGCACCAACTCCACGCCGTCCACGACGACGATCAACCTAACCACCGGCGGCCACACTCCCGATTTCCAGCCGCCGTGGTTCAGCAACTACAATTTCATTAGTGCCAAAATGGTACGGCGACGGTGGAGACTACGTGACTATCAGATTTTCGAAGACCGATAATATTCCCGACTCCTCGTCAAAAAATCCTCGTTAGAGTCCGCTGCCGGAATGGTACGCGCGACTAATTATCGATGCGGCCTTACTGTACGTCAAACCCTACATGTCCATTCGCTATTGAGATCGCGTTAGGCTTGGTGCTAGCCTCACAAATGCTCGAAGCCAATCACCCTTGATCCTTCTCTAATTGGTTGCATGTGGACACAGCTCAAACCAGAACAAGGGCAAAAACACAAATTCTGGGGCTAAGGATCACGACGGCGCACACTGACACACACGCACAAGTTGCCTAAAGATACACCTTGCGACAACAGCTTGCTGAGCCCATGACCGCTCTTTCACATCGTAGAATTTGTCCAGCATAATCTGTCTTCCCTGGATTGTGATTCAAAAATCTTCGTGCTGTCGACCATTGAGAACTCTCGCGCCTGCTTTCAACTTTCACAGTTGGTGATTCCTGTGAACGCCAGTCTTCCTTCTTCCCAGTCTGCAATATAGTCAGGCGTTGACAATGGACAACTTCCCGTCGGAAGTGAAACATACGTTGGCACCGACTTCTGTCATTATTTCGGCCATACAACTTACTCAGATGACCGATCGGCTTATATAGATGCACATTTTTTCCAACCCATCCCTTTTCGCTCCTGTGTCCTTGTTACTTTCGCCTGTATCTCCCCCCTCGCACCTGAAGTCTGAGATTGCTTAGCCAGTTCATAATATGGTGTCTCTTCAAAAGCGAGTTGTTCGTCCATTATCCCGGAGCTCGCCAAGGTCACGTACACGGCATTTCCAGTCTACATTTGCCACTTGTTCGTATCACATCGCCCTTGGTGTTAAAGTTCGTCGTTGCATCTCTCCCTCTTTCCTCATCTCCAATCAGAGCAAACGGGTAAAACGGGTCAGCCTGAAGGCCAGTGCGATCAGTCTTCCCAGCAGCTCTAATCCTGGTCGCACCTTATATGTCGGAGACAGCTGGAGTGACAGACATTTCCTTGTTGATACTGGTGCTCGACTGTGTCATGCCTCCCAAAGCAGTCGACCATCGATGCCCCAACTTGGACCTATTATCCAGGCCACCTCTTCAGACTTGGGATTTGAGGCTCCTCACTTGTCGACCCATTGCTCCTTCAACACCACCGTCATCACAATCCCACAAAGAGCAATGTGGATTCGGTTCCAATATGTCCTCATTGTGATCTCGCGTTCATCACACGCATTGGCCTTGTCAGTTAATTGTGTTAGCTAAACCGGTCTCTGCTACGACTTATATGACAAATATAGGGGGAACATTACGTAAATAGACTGAGAAGAACTGATATTACCACAAAAATGAAGCTTGATATTACAGTAGATGTGCTAACTCATGAAATGTCAACCAAAATTTCGAAATGCGCTCTCATTTCGAAAAGATTAATTAAGTAATGTTGTAAAACTAATCGTGATGCAGCATAAATCTATAATGATCCAGTTACCTCAGGGTGTCGGCTTTTGAAAGAACTTATTTTCGGCTGCATGCAAGATCTATACTCTACAAAAAATGACTACTTAAGTAGTATGCAATTTTCTCGTTGATTTTCGATGCCCTTGAAAATTCAATTATATTTCATGGAAAACATGCATAAACATATTCATTCTTTTACTTATTCGGTAGAAAATCACGTCTTCGTCCAAATTCATACTCAAAAGAAGAGTATAATTTGGTTTTAAAAAGTTTCTAATTGTGAGATTTTTTAATACCGTTAAATGGCCGTTCATGAAACGTCATGTATCTGCATTTACGAATGTGGCTTGTAAATTTAACAATATTGCATGCATTTCTCTACGGTGTTAAGAGGAGACCATATGGGGTTCATAAAATTAAGTGGTGGATTTGAGCAATATTGTTAGCTTTACAAGCCACATTCGTAAATGCAGATACATGGCGTTTCATGAACGACCATTTAACGGTATTAAAAAATCTCACAATTAGAAACTTTTTTAAAACCAAATTATACTCTTCTTTTGAGTATGAATTTGGACGAAGACGTGATTTTCTACCGAATAAGTAAAAGAATGAATATGTTTATGCATGTTTTCCATGAAATATAATTGAATTTTCAAGGGCATCGAAAATCAACGAGAAAATTGCATACTACTTAAGTAGTCATTTTTTGTAGAGTATAGATCTTGCATGCAGCCGAAAATAAGTTCTTTCAAAAGCCGACACCCTGAGGTAACTGGATCATTATAGATTTATGCTGCATCACGATTAGTTTTACAACATTACTTAATTAATCTTTTCGAAATGAGAGCGCATTTCGAAATTTTGGTTGACATTTCATGAGTTAGCATGAGTTGTCTAGGTTTTGCGGGAGTGTTTTTGGCCATATTGAATGAAAACGCTTTTATTTCATTACAATATTCCCCCTCTTAAGCTTAAGGCGTTCAAACGTGTAAAAATGGACGGGAATCGTGCAGATGTTAAGGGTAATTTACAAGTTGGGTACGATCAGGAAAACGGACTCGGCGACTGAAGGTATTTGGTGGAGTTGGAGGGTAGAGGAAGTGAGCGCTGTCAGGTTCACACGGAAGCGGGGTAACCGGAGAAGTCAATATGGTAGGTTAAGAAGTCTGATCTGCTCAGACGGACAAAAGAGGGTCGGTATAAGCCACTGTCAACCTACTAATTGAGACCTCTTCGGTAAAATCGCCACGGCCAATTTTAAAATGTTTGCTCGTGCGCAACAGGACCTGAAATATTTCGTCGCAGGGCCGCTGTAGCATCCCCACGTCAGGTTAGAGCAGTCTTTATGGAGTTGGGATGCCAGGGTGGGAGATATCATAAAAAAGTTGAAGCATAGCGCGACGCATCGAAACAGGCACTAAAGGCTGTTGAGAAGAAGTCAATACGCCACAAATGATTGTGTTAACACCGGTGGTTATGGCAATGTCTACGAACAGGAGACCACTGGAGGATTCATCGTCAGGACGACCGTCACGCTGCTGCCCATTCGCCATGGCAGAAAGGCTGGTTCTATCTGAGAGCTGGAGCGCAGAGAGTGACGGTTTAGGCAGCGCGCCGGCCACCTTATTCTTCATACCATCAATGTGGCGGTTGTCGGTGGTGACTTTTGAGATGTAGTGGAGGTGGGCAACCTCTCTCGTATCATATTTGTCAGAGTGAGATCCAGTGGCATACGTCAACAACTTGCGGTCCGTAAAAATGATGAAGTCGCGACCTTCATTGATGTATCGAAGATGCTTTAGAACCAGGTAGATGCCGAATATCTCACGGCCAAGGGTACTGTTACGCATCTCCGCTGGCAACAGTTAAGTACAAAAGAAAGCCAACGGCCGGATCGAAAAAGAGGGTGCTGTTGGAGAACGCCGCGCATGGGTACGGCCAAAAAGTCAACCAAAATTAGCAGAGGCTCTTTGGAAGCGGGATGCGTCAGCAAGGTAGCGTCGGCTGGGAAAGCTTCGGTCCTCTCTTAACCAGTCGGTGACTCATCACCAGGCTCGAGGGGACCCTTAGGACCGGAAGGCAGGTTAGTGAGCAGCAGCAAGAGGTCAGCATTTTTCGGCATAAACTTGCCGAGAACATGTTGGAGATTTATGGAAGAAAATTACGAGCAAGATCAACCTTGGAATGCAGAGGACGCAAGCCTTCAAAGTCCAAGTGGTGGTGAAGGAATCCAGGAGAAAGCTCACCAAGAACACTCATGTATGGGCCGATGATAACCTCCTAATTGTCGAGACGATTAGTCACCAAGGCGGGGTGCTGCCTGTGTTCTTCGACATTTCGAATAACCAGGCAGATGTCATCAACGTGGGCATGCACAAACAGCGGGCCACTTGAAACATGGCTGATGAATATATGAGGCGGTGGGGTGACATTGCGAGGGCAGAAGTGAGTGTGGACGAATTCAAACTAGCTAAAGACAGTGGTGACGACATTTTTGGGGATACCCCTGGAGTTCAGTTCAGTTCACTTTATTTGAGGGAAACAAAGGTGTTGAAAATTTGAACTCCATGTTTGTTGCAAGAAAGCGAATTATATCAAAAATTCGAAAATGAAAACATCAAGCAGCTACAGAATTTTTTTGAAACTGGTTGGATAAACTAATTGTTCCAAGTGTCGAAACATAAACGCTACTAAATGTGCTGTGCAGTAGTAAGTCTATGCATTATTGGTGCCATTTTAGTTCCTGAGGGAGACTGTTTGAAAGCCAACACCCACATCCAATAGACTTGGGGATAATATTAAGAACACGCGTTACTGAAGTGCGAGCAGAAGTATAATAACAAACTGTTAGAACGAGACACTAGGACAATATCGGTGAGATGACACTACGATGTTTAGTCGTAAACTGTTCCAACTTGTAGAATAGAATAGGTTTATTATAGCGCCGCTTGGGCACTGTCAGTCTCCCTTGAACACAGGAAAATAACCTAAAACAAACTCATCCATTTCGACTGTACTTTGACGGCATTTTTCTTCGGTGTCTCTTTAGCCAATAGAGCGCGAATTGAGAGTTTGACTTAAGTTTAAAAAAACCTCAGTTCCAGGGAAAAATAATCACAAAGGTTTTAATAAAGGGCGATATGAACAACATAAAAACTGAAGTGGGCAGTTTGGTTGTTTCTGGGTGGGCATGAATAATATGTCCTTCATGTGCCCAAAAGCCACGACGGATGTGGACATGACGATATCTGCAGGCGGAGCATTCGCAGCCTCGACCAGTCTGAGTAAGGACTTTCGCATGTCTAGCCTGGCGCCAGTCACACGTAGTTTAAGTGGATGACCTCGGAGTTTCGTTGTGGTTGCTAACCCAAAGAAGGCCGCAGGTGAGATTTTCAATTATTATTATTATTATTATTATTATTATTATTATTATTAAAGACCCGTCGGGGTCCCATCGAAGATACAGCATTCCTGACCGCGCATTATGCGGAACGTTTGTATAATGTCGCCCCTTAACTGTTCGTAACTCAGCCGAAAAGGCCGAGATTGGATAGTCATGTTTCGTAGGCAAATGAGCCTTGTCCACTAATGAGTTTGGTTGCCCGCCTTTGAACTTTCCCAAGGATGCTGGGGTCATTAGAGGTGCAGAGTTTCCACGCTTGAATAGCGAACTCTGTGGCCGTACAAACGTCCGAAAGACTCTAATGAAGCAGTCCTCATCGAATATGGAGAAAGCTTGCTTGACGAGAATAAAGGATTGGCATTGTGGACTTGGCTACCTTGGGTCACTGGAGTGACGGTTTAATCGAAGCCGTGACCCACACACCCAAGTCCTTCTGGAGATCTATTTCCTGCAATGGTACGTCATTTATGTTGTAAACCCTCCGGCCCGGAGATCGAGTCTCACCAACTCGCAGAACGTTGCACTAAGTCACATTAAACGGCGAAAGCCAGTCCTGCGACAGGTGGTGGGAGACGCACGCCAAGTCGATCTCCAATCAAAGTTTCTTGTCGAAAAGAACCCCAGTGAAATTTTGATGACACTGGAAATTGTGACGTTTTGTAGAACACACCATAGGGTCTCCAGTCATCTGATGTCACCTTGGGCGCTGTATGCAAGGGGAACGCTCAGGGGCTCTCCGACGGTCAAAGGATGCCCAGTTGCTGCATACATTCAAACTCCACCGTCGCGGTCTGCTGGCGGGCCATCACCAGTCATCTAGGCCGATCAAACACAGGCGGGCCTGGAGTGCGGGTATGGTGCACAACATGGTGTTGGACCTCAGGACTGCAAAATGAATGTTTAGTGATAATCGAATGTTGATTGAGAAGCTCACGGCAAGGACAATCGGCATCTGTATCCGGAGGAGATAAGCTGCAGTCGGTAATGAAGGAAGACAACCTTTGAAAGATACGCCAGCAGTTCAGTTGAGCAGTAGGGCACGTTGGCGGTTTACAAGGAGACCAGACGTGGCTAGAAAGTTCAAGTCGAGAGTTGCATGGAGAAAATCGGTGGTCAAAAATATCCGGAAGAACGACTGACAGAGGTCGATGTTTAAGGTAAGGGCCAGGCTCTCAAATGTGGGAACCAGGAAGCATTTGACAGCTTGGAGGCAAAGACTGGGATTGGGGCTGCGTCGGTCCACTGGAGTAGACGGAATCGCACTGATCTGGACCCCGTTGTTTATGAGGAGACGACTACAAGAAGGCTGTCGTAGACATAAGAAGTGTAACCAGAACCGAACAAACCAGGGAGACCGACCGCACTAGTCTTTGGGGTAACCTAATTCACCCGTTGGCTCATCTTCGAGATGAAGCAGCATGCAGAATTGAATCGACGAGCTTTGTAACCAAATTTTGCAGCATACCAACGAGAAGTGGCCGAGTTGGTGTAATATAAGTAGTGCATTGGATTATCCGGATGGTTGAAATCAATGAACTCCGGGATGAAAGAGACTGCCTGGCATATAAGGAAGGCCAAATCTTCGACATCTGGGACCTCAAGTTCGACAGCGGAGATGCAGAAGATGCTGATAGCATTCGAAGCGCGAAGAGGGATTGCCGAAACCGTACATCTCCATCAGCATTTCAAATATTTGCATGTCAGATGCTGGTACCAAAACATTATGCATTTCTGGTGAAAGTTAGTCCATTGCCAACGCCCGATTATGATGCATATTGCGAAGGGAAAAGTCTAGTGTTTGGAGGGAGTCACCACTTGCCGAATTGCGATGGTCGACAACATGAAGGTTCAAAAATCAGACGTTAGGGAAGATGGTTAGATGGACAAGGTTTTCCGAGGCGATGTAGTATATAGGCGCTCAGCAGGCAGTAGCAGTCAAAGTTCTAGCCAGGTAGCTGTCAACCAAAGCGAATGCGCCCGAACTTCTTTCGGCAACATTCAATCAGTGAAGAAAGAAATATTGATCGGCGTCACGGCGTCGCAAACCGGAGGTTATCACGCGTGTTTGGTGGACCTATCGAAGTGGTTGACAATACAAAAATGCCCAAATCAGAAGTCAAGGAAGACGGATTGGGTTTGGCAACTTTACTGGCAGGAAAGGGCGCATAACAGGCTCCGCAAGCAGTTGCCGCAGGCTGTCACTCCAGGCAGGTTTCTTTTTCCGGGTCCACCGTTGAGGTTATTAGACCCCAGCGCGTGTGTGTGCCTTTCGTTCTGTTCCAGTTAGCGTCCGCCAGCCAATCAGAGAAGGGACAGTGTTGATTGACTTCGAGCTTTCGCGAGGCTAGTGGAAAGTCTCGCGCGGTCCCAGCAGTGAATCGGCAGGGAGCGTGGGATGGCCAGGTAGGCAAAGCGGTGGAGAGCAAGGAGGCGCAAACTACCACAGACCGATGACAACATGGATGATCGACGACGCTCCAAACCCACCGTCTAGTCCACATTCGCGAGCCCAACTCATGTACCCGTCTAATGAATGGAACACGGAATGAGTTAGCTGACGCACAGTCCAGACATTCAGTCGCACAGGATAGAACTCACTGATATGACTGCCGAACAACTCCGTGTTCATCCTCCCTATGACGCGGACGTTTACGGACTCCGACCCTGGGGTATTCATCTGACTACTGGCGATGGCAGCATTCTCTGTGACATCTCCGCCGCCTCCTGCCATCGCTTTGTGCCCCCATCTCCCATAGGAATTTCCTAACCAACCATTCCCACCCCGGAAGTCAAGCTACTGGCAAGCTGGTCTCCGATCACTTACTTTGACCTGGGACGCACAAGCAACTGAAGGTCTGGACATAGCCCAGAACCCAAAGATGTACACCACACGGCAAGTTCAGCCTAACCCTTAAACTCTTTAGAACACAGTGACCACCTCCTGGTATCACACAATCTTTGGTGTTCAGTCAAATCGCTGCATCCCCCTGCTCCCTCGTCTCCCAGCAGACCAATCGGGTGAATTGGCCCAGTCTGAAGGCCCGCGCGGTTAAGCTCCCCGGCCCCTTTAGCCCAGACATCACATTCTATGCCTGCGGCAACTGAAGCGGTAGACGTTTCGTGGTCAGCACTGGTGTTTATTTAATTGTCATCTCTCCAATAGCAACCGACCGTCGGTGCCCTAACCCAGGCCTCTGACCTCAAGCCGCTAACTGTATAAGCAAATAAATTACAGAACTAGAAGTCGAATCTTTCGTGAACGCCGCTTAAAGGACATTCCCATCGAGTAGGGAACTTGTCTGGATAGAGAAACGCTGACCACAGAGGTCTGCTCGCTGGACACTGTATATAGGACATCAGGCCCACAACTTCTGAAATTACTGAGAACTAAAAGCCAGAATAGGAAGTGCAGATCTAAAACTAGGTAGATGTGGCGCTCAACGATCTAAACTGATCGGGGGATGAAATACATTGTCCGGACAGCAGGGGTAGCTTGAGCACCAAAACCAGCACCGAGCACTGAGTTGCAAGGATAATTGGACACCAGATAGAGGGGTTCATTCCATGCAGAACATCGTGCTACGGTTTCCGTCCAGCAATTTCCAGGTAGGGTAAGTGCTCACAGTGACGCCTAACAATGCAAAGTCCCGGAATACTCAACAAACTCCAGAGCGGACCTAAGCCAAACGCTCAGCGGGCCCATTTTCTATCGACCTAGGTTGGTAGCATTAAGCCGTCTGGAGAGTGCGTTTCGTCCTGGAATTTATTCGTGTCAGTGAACATCAGTAGTACGAGCCGCGAATGCAACTGAATACAGTCGCAAGAGCGTGAGTCCACGACAGTTCACGTTGGAACATTTGTTTTATCGGCTGACAAGCAAGGGGCAATCACGCGACAGGCACACGTCGACGACCGATTCGGCTGGTGGGCGAGAATAGAAAGTGGTACGCAAAACACTAAAGCTCAGTTGACCTAGCATCCAAATTTCAGCTTTCTGCAGCTTGTGGTTACGGAATAGCTATCATCCAATGGGGGATATATAAGAAATGGCTAACCTATGTTTGACCACTCAAACGGCAGTGCGTGACTAATCGCAACAGCAATGTCGATCTAGGAAACAGGCAGAGGAAACACAGCACCTCTTTCCGAAAACAAGCAGCTGAACTCGGTAATAAAGTCATCAGATCTCCCCAGTGAATGCTTCATTGCACAATCTTAGGACTACTAAAAATTGCAAACGCTTTCAGCTTCGTAGTGCGTGGCCTCGAGACCTGACATGTTTCGAGTCCTCCTACAAGAAGCTTTGGATGAATACGAAAAAGCTATTTGCTGGTAGGCTTCCCCGGTTGCGGAGGGCGAGGAAGTGCCCTCCACACTGAGGTGCAGAATTTAATGATGACTCAAAGCCACCCATATGTGACACATCTGCAGTAGAGATTCACTTTACTAAGCGGCCTGGCGCCGTCCACATAGCTAAGACGAGTTCCCTAACAACTGCAAATATCGACCCCCCGCTGTGGCGGACAGCGCAGAAATCATTAGCCTGAACATAGTCCCCCGACTTATGCTGGTTTGGTCTGTGAAGTTAGGATAACAGGGCATCCTCATCTCCCAAAACGGTTTCTGTCGACTGAAAAGTGAGGTACAAATGCCTACGTGCTATAGCAACACGCACTTTCGGCCTACTAGATCGATAAATGGTCCCAGTTTCTGTGTCAAGGCTTTTATGGACGTCAGATATCTTGTCCACTAAGGCCTCGTGAGACAAAACTGAGCCAGGAGAAGCGTACACTTGAAGGCGACTGTCAACTGAGAAAAGGGTTCACACGCTTTACCGTCGTTGTGGAGTCCAGCGGTAGTCTACAACTAAGCCATAAGTGTCGCAGGCTAGTTATAATTGACCTATAAAGGACATTCGCTGTTGAGTGCGTAGATGACCGTGAGTTTTTGCCGTCATAATAACCCTCCGGGAGGTGAGGCACAAGACATTTTCCTGTCAACTATACAACTTTATAAACAGCCATATACGGGCGCTAACCTTAAAAAACAAGACGAAGGTACGACGTTAATTAAGCACCTTAAGCCTTGACTCGACGGCGATAGAAGACATTTTTGGTCCCATGGGCCTGGAAGATACTCCACGAGCCACTTTGTGGTGGACAGAATACTGTATAAGGTTCGTATAAGGTTTACTGATACGAAAACAAGCCGGGGAAACAGGAGCTCCTATCGTAAAGCAGTCAAAATTAGACAATTTCAGAGATAGTGAACAATTTCGTGACCTTCCAAATTGTAATAAGAGTGCTATCTAGTTTTATCATTCTATGAAATAGTAAAGCACATAACAAGTAATGGACGCATTGACATGAAACAAAATAGTCGACTTGTTTATTAGAAATAAACAACTCCCGGTCTCAATGGATAAGTAAGACTTAACAATAAACGGCATCAGGATAGAAATATACTTATTTATATTCAGTGACTGTACACATACAGAGGTGAACTTTTGATTGAAAAGCGAACCATGCGCGCGTGTACCTTCATGAACAAACAGCAAAACACGAGAACCTATACAGAAATAGGCGACGTATAAAACGCACATACATATACGCACACACTGATTTTAAGATAAAGGGCGGGAAGTGCATGTCTGCGTAATAGTATAAGCCGAGCTGGCTGCCATATACTCTGATCATCAGCGTCACTGGACCGTATGAAAGAGATGGTGACGGGGGTGTGTCCTAATAGGGGTCCATCCGAGATGCATAATTCCGAGGAGACCGGCGAGGGTTGTGCCTGCTTCGCCTCTGCATCTGCAACTGTTTCCGGTACATTCGCTCTTCTCGGGTTAAGCGTCGTGGAGACTCGAGGTAGGTGTCCGAGTATCCGCAATCTTGTTTTCGGCTGGGCGGTGGTGGTGGTGGTGGAGGGGGCGGCAGCGATGGAGGTGCCTTTGGAGCCTTTATTTTCTTCATGGGAGGTCGGCGGGCCTCCATCTTTTGAAAATGCCTTGGATACAGGGCCCAGATATCAGCCACATCGTGGATGTACAGGCTGTGATCCTCTAGTTCCTTGGATATGTCTGATCCACATTTGTAGAGTTTGGCATGGTCCAGCTTGTAGGTCAGCCAATCATCTGCCGGAATGTGCCGCACGGCTGGGCGCTATTGCCAGAATAGAGAACAAACTAACAGGGGAATTTGTTACTCTTACAGGAAACGATTGTGTCCTGGGATGCAGGACACGATAAAATAGGATGGCAAAACGGAACTGGAGGGGAAATATTATAAACAAAAGACATATCAAGACATGACAGCTAAAGCTTTCAGACGCAAAACACGAACGTCCGAGGGTGAAAGTTAGATATCAAGTCCGGTAAATTTACAAAGTCGCGGTGCCGTGAACGATCAGCAAGCAAAGGGTGATGCTTTGTCAATCAAATAAAAACTCTCATATAACTACTATTTTCTCTCTCGACGGAGCGGTCCTGTCTGTGTTCATTACTGCAGTATAACTGACCAAAGAAGACCGTATCTGATTCAGCTTACAATGAAAGTGAAGAAATGCGATAAATTCATGAAATTTAATATCAGTTTAAAGTGCTACGGTAGAAATCTGCATTAAGGGTCAAATATGGAATTTCGGTCAAAACAAGTGGAAAAGCTGAGATTTTCTCAGTTAAGTACTACGAAAGTTGGAATGTGAGATCCGTATTGATAGGATGGAAATGGAACCCTGTGGTTGCTCCACGTGGCTACTGTACGCAGCCGAAACTGATGCCTTCGTTTAGTTGCTGCAGTCGATGAAATGACAAATTGCAGTAGAAGAGACAGGACGAGCACTTCTTTGCAGTTCCCGTGAAAATTAAGGTAACAATTTAATTAATCTTTTAAGGCTTCGAACGTGCGAACTCAAAAAAAACATTTCGCAACAATCTGACCATTCCATGGCGACCGTTCCTCTTTCTATGCCACCGAAAACGGGTATGTAAATTATGAACAAAATACGAGTGAGTGGTTCTTAATGAAGTCGATTATCCCAAATCTGACAGCTTTGTGGCTCTTGGGCGAATAATATATTGCCGTTTTTCTATAATTGCTAGCCTATAGATTCTACAACCAGATGATTTTGCTGACCGAATTGAAGACTATTCCGTAGAATATGCCATTAGACCAAAACTTAACACTGGCTTCAGAATTGAAATAGGTTACTGCGTACATCAGCTTTTATTTTCAGACCGTCTTATGGGAGAAAGTTCAACCTCAAGGACAGATATCGTTTCGTGAAGGGAGAATTTAGTTTGACCGGCCAATAAAGTGCTGTTGCTAGAAACAAGAGCAAATTCGTTTATGTGGAATCGTCATTTTAACAGGTCATCGGAAAAAAGATTGAAAAGGCGAAGGAAACAGCACATACTGGTGGGGTTGGCTTTGGCGGGCCCTGCGTTGCCTTTGAAAGAGGTGTGTGTGTGGAACTGGACTGCGAGATGGCCTACAAAAGACGAGTGAATGTAGGACAGAACCAACGTAAAAATCCTGTGCGAACTCGATGAGTGTATATCTTACTCCTCCCGACTAAATTCGAAGGGCGCTCTCCAATGCTTTGTCACTATAAACTAATTCACGCGCAAGTCACCGTGTCTGCTTCACCTTTCAGTGAAGCACATGGTGGACATCGTCCGCAACGACGGTCGAACTGTCCCGTGTGTGTGGGGTGGAAGGATGTCGAGCTGTGGGTTCACGTGACGGACGTAGCAGGTTGTTCGCTTGCTTACAGGTGTAGACTACGCCTGGCGTCCATTTGCTGGCACCCAACTCTCACATGTGGCTCCCCGAAGCTAGGCTCTGCCCAGTGGTCACAGACCAGTAACCACCTAGACCGGTGGGCTAAACCAAGTGAGGGTATCCGTGTGTGCATCTTCGCATACGGTAATCTCGGTTGGCCGGATGGATCAGCGCATCCGCATCGTCAGGACGAGGCTCCGTCTGGAATATGTTAGGAGGCCAACAAGTACGTGAGCCTCCAGGTAAGCGAACGTTGCTATGCTGCCTTTGCTTTTCTTGTTCTTACTCGCCTGCTCTCTGTCTGCTTGTTGGTGTCTGTTCTTGTTAAAAACTTACTGCCGCTCTGTTGAATTTCCTCGGTGGCCTTTGCTTTTGCTGTTCTTACCTGCCTGCCTTTGTCTGCTTGTTCGTGTCTGTCCTCATTGTACGTTAAATGCCGTTCTGCCGAATTTGTCTGCTCACCATTTATATTTCAGCAGTTAAGCTGAGTGGGACGGGAAAGATCTGCATCCCTGTCTCTCTAACCTCCTCCCTTCAGCTTACGCGATGTCCTAGGCAATTTTAGGCTAACTCGGGTTTCTCCCACTAAATAAGGTCGTGGCCCACCACAGTGGAGTCCGGCAGTCATCTGGGACAACTGGGCACACCTATTTAGGAGGAACACTATTCACTCCCCCCTCCTCCCCGAAGGGGAAAGAACTAGAAAAGATGCCCTAAACAAATGCTGGTGAACCACGCCATCTGCAGGCTGATCGTGGTCGCAGGTGCAAAACACACGGCCAAAACGGTCACATAAGAAACAATACTCTCTCTCCCTCTCTTCCCCCTCCTCCTTACTGTCGCCCTGCCCCGCAGGCTGGCAGGGTGAGTCCGCTCACTCTGGCAGCCTGGAACGTTCGTTCCCTTTTAGACAATCCGAGGTGCAACCGACCGGAACGGAGGACGACGCTAGTAGCTCGGGAACTGGCGCGTTACAAGGTGGACATGGCTGCACTCAGCGAGACCCGGTCCTCCGAACAAACCAAACTAGAGGTGGGTGCCGGCTACACCTTCTCCTGAGGCGGCCGCCCTAAGGCAGAGCGACGGAGCGCGGGAGTCATCTTTGCCATCCGGAATGACATCGCGGGATGACTGTCCTGTCTGCCGCAGGGCATCAACGATCGCCCGATAAGCCTCCGCCTGCCTCTCCGAGGAGACAAATTCGCCAACATCGTCAGCATCTACGCCCCCCGCATGAGCGGCCTTGGCGCGGCAAAGAACAAATTCTACGAGGACCTTCACGCCCTCCTGACAACTGTGCCGAAGGTGGACAAGCTGATTGTCCTTGGTGACTTCAACGCCCGGGTCGGCACAGACCATGCTGCCTGGAGAGAAGTGCTGGGTCTCCATTTTCACGATGGCTTTAAAGACAATGGCCTGCACCTCCTACGAACCTGCGCACAACACCGACTCATCCTGACCAACACCTACAATCGCCTCACATTGCGAGAGATGGCCATCTGGATGAATCCCCGGTCGCGACATTGGCACCGGCTGGACTATGCCCTCGGCCGGAGGCGAGACCGCGGGACGTGCTGGTGACAAAGGCGATTCCGGGTGCTGACGGGTGGACCGACCATCGTCTCGTCAACTCCAAGATGAGTAATCGTCCACAGCGTCGCAGGAGACCTCAAGGTAGGAGACCACAAGGTAGATTGAATACTGTTTTGACAAATATGTCTGCTCATCATCTCCATTTCACCAACGAGCAAGCTCAGAGACCGGCAAACCTTCCAGTCGCCGCCACCACTGACGAGTAAGCCTCCCTGGAGAACCAATGGTGATAACTTAGAGACACAGTCCAGTCCAGCGCTGTTGCTGTCCTCGGTCGCGCACGCCATCTACATGAGGATTGGTTCGAAGACGATGACGCCACCACCAGCAACCTGCCCGCCGAGAAGAACCACCTGCACAAACCCTTCATCAGCCGCCCCACCGACAACAAAGCAGCCTTCCGCCGTAGTCACCGCCTTGTGCAACAGCGGCTAAGGGGGATGTGGAACGTTTGGACGGCTCGTAAGGCCGAGGAGATCCAAGGTTACGCGGACCGCAATGACTGGAAGAATTTCTTTGCCGCGATCAAGGCTGTCTACCGTCCGCCAACCAAAGGAACCGCTCCTTTGTTCAACGCCTAAGTGTTTACCCAACTTACTGAGGAGACGCAAATCATGAAGCGTTTGGCCGGGCACTTCAGAGGCGTCCGCAACCCTCCACCATCTGTGATGCCGCCATCACTGTCTGCCTCAGGTGGAGACCAACGCCGATCTCGACCTCCTGCCCTATCTCCACGAAGCCACCAGGGTCGTGCAGCAACTTTTCAGCGGGAGAGCCCCTGGATCAGATGCGATCCCTGCTAAGATTTACAAGCATGTCGGTCCCCAACTGATGGGTTCCCTGACAGCGCCCTCCTAGCAGATGTGACATCAAGGACAAGTGTCGCAGAATTTCAAGGACGCCACAATCGTGCATCTGTATAGAGGGAATGGTTATCGCCAGCTCTGCGACAACCATCGAGGCATCTCTCTGATGAACATCGCCAGGAAGATCTTCGCTCGCATCCTCCTCAACCGCCTGAACCACCACCTGGAACAGAGTCACCTCTTGGAAAGCCACTGTGACTTCCGCCGTCATCTTAGAAGTACCGACGTGATCTTAGCCGCCCGCCAATTGCAGAAAGTGTCAGGGGATGCGGATCCACCTCTACTCTACTTTCGTGATTCTGACGAAAGACGGTGAATCGCGAAGGAATGAGGAAAATCATGCAGAAATTCGACTGTTACTAACGATTCACTCGGGTGGTGCGCCAGCCCCATGATCGCATGTCGCGAGTCACGGACAATGGGGCTGTCTTAGCGGCATTCCCAGCGACAAACGGAATGAAGTAGGGCTCCGTCCTGACGCCCACCCTCTTCAGTCTTATGTTTTCTGTCAAGCTGATGAGCGTCTAACGTGACGAACGTCCCGGGATCCGCATTGCCCACTGTACGGACGTCCGGCTATTCAATCAGCGGCGGATGCACTTCCAGTTACGTGTATCCACAAATACCTTCCATGAACTTCTCTTCGCAGACTGTGCCCTCAACACCACCTCCGAAGGGGACATGCAAAGGAGCATGGACCTCTTCGTCGATGCCTGTGACAACTTCGGCCTGGTTATCAACACGGAGAAGACGGTGGCCATGCATCAACCGCCACCGGATGCTGCCTACTTTTCACCCAAAATCAAGGTGAACTGCGTCCAGCTGCAAGCTGTAGGCGCTTCCACCGACCTGAGCAGCACCCCCTTTTGCAACACCGAAATCGACGATGGAATGGCGCGCCAGATCCACAAGGCCGGTCAAACCTTCAGCCGCCTGCGAAAAAACACCGTCTGGAATCGCCACGGCCTTCATCTCAACACCAAACTGAAGATGTACAAAGCAGTCATCCTGCTGACGTTGCTGTGTGGAGCGGAGATCTGGAGGGTATACGTGATGCAGGCGCGGAGACTCAACGACTTCCACTTCAGCTGTCTTCGACGGATACTGAAGCTGAGGTAGCAGGACCGGATCCCGGACACGGGTGTACTAGAACGGACGGGAATCCTCAACATATACGCCATGCTCAGACAACTACAACTGCTTTGAAGCGGCCATATCGTGTGTCCGCTACCGTGCGAGTGGCTACCCAGACAACTTTCTACGGAGATGTCGCGACGAGTTTCCCGCCGACGAGGTCAAGCCCGCCGCTACAAGGACACCCTAGAGACTTCGCTGAGAGTCTGCATATCAACCACGGCACCTGGGAAGGCCTCGCCCGAGACCGACCGACCTGGAGGAAAACAGTAAAGACAGGCGCAGCTATCTACGAAACCAACCGCATCACCGCCGCCACAGCCGAACGCGAGGCTCGCAAATCTCAACTGCGCCCACCTGGCAACGCCAACGCTCAACCACCCCCAACTTTCCCACGCTGCCAGCGGACGTTCGGTCACCAAGCGGCCTTACAGGACATCTTCGTACCAACTGCAGCATCCAGACTACACCAGCTGCCGTCTCCCCGTCCAACTCCACCCCCCACCCACGCCGACAACTAACACTGTCCGCACTCCCGAACCCCCCACTCCATCCTTCTCACCCATCGCCTCAACATTCGCTACGGCGACTCATATACCCACCACCCCTGCACACAATCCTGGCACACCAACGAACATCAACCTCCCCACTATAAACACCAGCGATGTGGACTCGATCCATACCTGTCTTCATTGCGACCGCACCTTCACCTCACACATCGGCCTGGTCGGTCACTTGCGAATCCATCGCACAGAGACCAGCGAACTCGTGCCTGGAGCACCAACCTAAACTCGCCGCATCCGCATCCAATTCACTCACCGCATGGGCCTATTCGGTCACATGCGTATCCATGAGAGCGGAATTGATCGAAGTCTCGACAGCACCTCTTGCACATACATCATGCCTAGCTCAACGCACACCCCGCCGCCCAGCACACCCACCACCATCAGTTCCACCACACTCTGCACATCTTGCAAACCCACCACGCCAAGTCCAACGCACACTCTGTAGCCCAGCGCGTCCATTATCAACAGATCTACCACTGTCACCATCCTCGAAACCGACACTGACATCATCGATTTTTCCTACCCACACTGTCCCCGTACATTCACCTCACACATCGGCCGGGTTGGTCACCAGCGAATCCATTGCACAGAGACTGACGAACCAGTGCTTGGAGCACCAGCATACACCCGAGGCATCCGCCTCAGCTGCCCTCACTGCACCCGCACATACACCCACCACATGGCCCTGTTGAGCTACATGCGCATTCACGAAAACCTACGGTAGACAACCGCCGCTTAAACCACAAGATCGCATCTTTCCCCCACCTACATCACACAACATTATCACCCACCACAAGCATCCAGCTGCCACCTCCCACGCAAGTGGGAAGTGTGCGTCTCGGCTCCGTCTCCATGCGGCTCCTTTGGCTGATGTGTGACCCGAGTCTGAGACCATCACGGCGCGTCAAGCACCGTGGTTTGGAAGGCTGCTGACCGACGCCTCAACTCGGTCCACGCAGTCTGCCTAGTTGTGTGAGTGTTTGTGTGGAGTGGCAGGCTGGTGGGCTAAGAGCCGTTCTGAAACGGCTCCTTAACGTGGCCTACGGCACTCACGCATGTGAGATGTACGCCACTCAACCCCCGTTGTGTGAAATTCTGGTGCTTCTGTTTGGGGACCCAAGTAGTGCATGTGACGCGCGTCGACAGAGTCACTATATATGTCAGCCACCGCGCCCATTCCCCGCACCTGTCAACTGACCTGCCCGGACAGTTACACGGGCCTAAAAATGGGAAGGGAGAGTGAGGTCGACGACTTAGCGCATTTTCCTCACTATAAACAATCTGACGCGCTTAAATCTATCACAGTACACTAAAATCCGTGGCTTGGAAGGCTGCCAACTGACGGGATAACCTAAACCTCGCAGTCGGCCCGTTGTCGTGTTTGTGTGGAGCGGCCCCCTCTTAATGTAGCCTTTATGGCACTCCAACTCCGTGAGATCCGAGCCAGGTGTTACGGCACGCCGGGTGTGGCTCCGGCCGCGACGGCCCCTTTTGTTGTTGGCTACAATTTCTGGTCATTTGCTGCGTGGACCAGGGGGTGTGGGGTGGAGCGCCAAGGTGTGGGCTCGACTGTGCCATCCATCTGCACCCTCCCCCGCCTCCAGTCTTCTTGACTATGTCTTGACACCGGATCCAGCTGGGGGAGGAGGGGAGAGTGCGGTAAATGCTGCACAAGTCTACATTCATTATTAACTAAATCACGTTCAAGTCACCGTCTCTGCTCCACCTTGCTGTGGAGCACACGGTGGACATCATCGGAAACGACGGTCGAATTATCATGTGTGCTGCGCTGAAGACGCTCTGGACCAACACGGGATCACATTGGCTCATGGTACGCCGAGGTTGTGCTCGCCCATAACTAATGCCGGGTATGCACACGTTAACATACCTTAGACTCAGGCCCTTATGTCGTGTCCAAACCTGGCTGATTGACAGGCTCAAAAGTCGACTGGTGAACGGTTGACACCTGGGGGACCCATTCTGGCGGCAAATCAAAGCATTCCTCACTATAATAAATCCCATGAGCTAAGAGTCGTGGTTTGGATGGCTAACCCGGGATAACTCAGACCTTCTGCGGACTGAAACTCAACTTGCAACGGCCCCACTCATCCCGTGGTCTTTATGACAGTCTCACCCATAGTCGCCCTTACAGAGGCCTGGCACACGTAACGTGTATGGCATGCGTAGACAGGCCGCGTGACTTTATCAGCCACTTTGTCCGCGCCCACCTCCGGTCTTGACATTATCTCGCCGTCGGAGGAAGGCGGGCGGGGGAGGAGAGTGCGATGAATGCTGTGTAAGCTCGCCTCACTTTAAATGAATTTACACGCAAGCCACCGGTGCTGCGTCCACTCCGTTGGGAAGGCGATGGAAGTCGTCGCTCGCGACGGCCGAATTATCATTTGAAAGCGACCAGCAAAGAAAATGCGTCAAATAATTAATCGAAATGTTACCCGGTTGATTTCCAAGGTCATGTACCATGAAGGATAGGGGTCGTCATCATTCAAAGAACTTTTCAGGTGCAAGAATCTGTTATATCGTTGCCAAATTTGCTAAGACCCCTCTCCTTATAGTTGCATTAAGTCGGGTGGTTGGTGTTCCCGTCCTGACACAAAATCCACCAGGATATAATAACAGTGTAGTGGACGCATTGCCGTAGCCAGTCAGTTTGCATTTGATATCTCTAGCTGGCAGTCGTAATGAATGTGTCCGTTTGGACAGTAATAGCGGTTGCTAACTTCGGGCCTGTGGTTGCATTGTAATCACATCCTATAAATACTGCACGCCCAGTGTGTCTGCCCTACCCTTATCTGCTGCTGCTGCTGCTGCCTCTGAGTACGGGTTCGAGGGTTAATCCGAAATATCGGCTGAATAAAATTGCTCCAGCGATCGAAGCTCCCTAGTCACAACTGCTCCTGGAACTCGTTTGTTCGCGTGTACCATAAAGACTCACCTTGGCTGGCAAAATGGTAGGTGTAGAAAGCTGCGGGGCTTGAGTGAGGAAGCTAGAGAGTTGGGGCATTGAGCTGAGGCCGGAAACGTTGGTAGTGGGTTTGGGCAGGATGGGCACGTACTGTGGCATTGCGGGTGCCACGTTTGCACTGCCGCCCGTAGCAGGATCCGGAGGCAGAGGCTTGCCAGTGAGGGAGGAGCAGGTCTTCAAACATTCAAGCAGGCGTGGGAAATGAGATGTGTGCGGCGCAAACAGTGGACGCACTCCAATGCAGGCAACCTAGGTAACAGGTGCAAAGTTGAGGCGAACGCCAAATATTTTAGTCTTTCAAAATTCCAGTAATAGTGGTAGGAGCACCGTGAAGATGCTACAGAGGAAACAGAGATAAGAATCGGGCTATTGGAGACACAAACCTAGATATGCACAGTCAAATCCAGCACACTCATTAGTCGTAGTCATTACTGTCGGTCGTGGAGGACCCATTCAAGGATCAAACTGAAATTTGATAGGTTACTTGTGATACTTCTGTCAGCTTTTAGTAGCTATCTTTTTGCAACCCCTGTTTCACGAACATGGTTCTTTACAGGTTCCTGGCATTTGGCTGCGTGGCCTTTACACGGAGCCCTTTCCTAAGTGGCGATTACTTTACCACTACAGGACGGCCAACTATCCGCCAACACCAAAGTAGCTAAGGGGAGAAAAGTTACGAAATAAGTCCTAGAAAACGGCGTAGGTATGCCATTGTTTTTACAGTCTTGGTTTTTACTTATTAGTCTTAATAATTGCGCGAAGTGGCCATACGTTGATATTATTGTTCAGTCGCCCACAATTGCTTTCGTCATTATGCAAGAAAGCTGTGTGCAATTTCACCGTCAGGATGCACTATGGAATCCAGTCCCCAAACAACAAACCAAAGAAAAGAAATAGTAAACCTAGGAGAGCAAGCCGGTAGGTACAGGACTTCAAGTAGAAGTCATACGAATGTAAGGAGCCACTTTACTGTGACTACCCGTGATAGGCATATACGTGAACTGCCCTTCAGGGCCTAAGATCAGACAAGAGAACTCTTGGCGGTTCGAAGTCATCCTGCATGAGCCACCGCAGAAACCGATTTTCAGCACCCTAAAAACATCCCCGGCTTTCAGTCCAAATTACAAAGTGACGGTCGCTCATTTAAGTGTGTGCGCAAAAGCATGTGTGACGATTTCAGGCCATTTATAAGTAGCTGCCATTTTGCGAAACCTGCTAAATAGAGCGCATGCAGCCATTGAAATAAAAAAGTGCTAGGCATATCGCTGGTCGAGGCGATTTTGAGACGAAACGTGCAAAATATTGGTCATACATTTAGGCGGGTAGAATTAAGCGAACAAGATTTAGTCCGTCGACGGAAACAATGCCGTTACTGAGTCCCAAGCACAGAAAGGCAAGGCTGCATCAGATTATGAGTCGATGCGCTTTGTGTAGTTGGAAGTCGGGTCCCACTGTCTTAGCAGACGAAGTCCGCTTCCATATACGAGAGAGTAGTTAAGAGTTAACGGTTAAGGAAGTGTCGATTTGGCCAGAGAGTCAGTCAATGTATGGGATGTGATATGGACGAAATGGATAGAGCTGGTCATCGTGCACCGCACCGTTAACGTGGAAGCGCAAAAGGGGGTATGGCAAAGGATTTTATTAGGGTCGTCATTGTGTATTAACTAGGCTGACAACACTTGTTTCATCGAGCCCACTACCAAAAGACTCAGAACCGAAAGGGGCACATAATCCTCTCCCTGGGCCCTGTTAAGTTCCCAATTTGAAATATAGTGATCAAATCAGGTGCCAACTTCGCTACGAAGTCAGACGGTTCATATCACTGTCTGCTTTGTCAGGTTTGGTAGATGCGGATGCCTGAATATGATTGTGATTTATAAGTAGAAGCAGTAAGAGCCAGTGTTATGATCGCCGTCGGCAGAGGATCAAGGCGTTCACACTCGAATGAGCGACAAATCTTACTTTAACAGGCGGCACGGTATAACTGGTGTCTATAGTCTGCCAGTGCATCCTGTGAGACGCCTACACTGGATAAGGCTGACGGTCTTACTTAAATTTAAAATGAACCGAAATGGTATTCAAGTTGAGTGTCCAGATGTGTTTGATAATTAAGATGAGATCCCCAAGGCTTTTTTGCATGCTTCAGCGATGGACGCAGGATTCAGCTAACGGTGGCTGCCCGGTGTTGCTATGACCGGTTTTCTGATAACAAGTCAGGACTAAAAGACGATTTGAACACTACAACCCGAGACCTGTCCGTCATTCAGACAGCGCATTGTCGACCCCGTCAGGAGCTCCACAAAATCGGAAAGACTATCATGGAAGAAGATACCGATAATAACCTACCTGCTTATCGCAGTGGCTTGTAGGGAAACTTCTTCAAAATAAACACCCCAAGGAAGAGTGGCCTTAAGTAATCTGTCCGACAAATTTGATCGCATGCTTCTAGAAACATTTTAAAAGCCTCTCCAAACCACGGCTAAGAACGTAGAGGAATTTCAGAAGTTAACAAAAACATTGAAAAACCCAGGAACGATCGTCCACAAGGCTGACCAAGACCATTCTTGGCTTATTTGTTGCGACTAGATAGCCGAACTGGCCATTACAGCGCAACTTTGCCCCCAACATACAACATAAGAGTAACAACTGTAGGTGTGTTCACGCGTAACTGTAAGCCACATATCTTCAAGGGTAATGTTGTAAGATGATTTTAAAATAACACCAGTGTTTCAGTCTGATATTTTAAGGTATATTTTGTGTTTGAATATTAAAAAAGACAGTTATAAGCGTTGTTTGGGCGGTCGCAGGTATTCGCATACTTTCCGTGAAAGTACAGATCCCACGTTCTGTAAGAACAAATGTACACAGGTTCGCAGGTGAAGAACAAGCCTCCTCATAATCGTATGCCAGATAACTGACTAATTGCTTCGGAGTACTCGTGATTGATGACATCGCTTCAAATACTACCTGCTGAGGACCCATCTTTACCAGAAACGTCTGAGACGTCTTAGGAAAGTCGAGGTCAGTCGGATCAGTCATGATCGAAGCTCCACCGAGAGAAGATATGCCCGAAATAACAAATTAGTCGGATGTGAAGTTTTCCACAAAGTTAATACAAATATGAATACAGCTTTTATAGACGCAACTGACCTTGGAAAATGCTTGTTTAGGTGAAGAGAGGATTTGTGCGAGTTTTCCTGGAGGCGAGACTGCCACCAGACTCGTGTGTGGAGTTGTCGAGCAGAGGTGTGCAAGATGGTGACCCAGTTGGGAGTTCAACCAAGCGAAATCGAGGAAAACGACGGCGAAATCTGTGTTGGTATAGGAAGTGTCGCGAGCACTATCCTCCAGGCGTTTCACAACGGCGTTTACGCCGATAACAACGTGAGCCCTAGCGAGGAGAAAGCAAAACGTGTTATTAAAATATGGGTAGCAATTAACGGCGGAGCGCTCGGAAACTAAACAAACCAAAAGCTTTCACGTTCCGGATCTGAACCAAGAGACATGCCAATTTCACTATCCTGGGGCTTCCTTTCCCTTGCATACAACGTAAACAAACTAAAGTGCGAAAAGTTAACACTAAATGAAGGGGACGGTACCTAGCCAAATCGCTGGCAACCTTGTTATCCTCTTTCAGGATGGGAACTCTAAAAGTGTACAAATTAGAAACAAAACCTGAGTTTACCCAAGGATCAACCGGAGCGTGAATGGTTGGCAGATGTTTTTTGGTGCCGGAGTTGTCTTGATAGTCGACATGACCTTCAAAGGCTTCTGGTGCTCACTGGGAATGTATATTGGAGCGCACTGAGTTGCCATCCACGGCTACAGCTAAAACAGACATCAGGCAATTAGCGCACCACTATTTCGAAAAAAAAATGGTCAACCACGCAAACAGCTTTCAGTCGCTATCTTATGTTCCGCGCATACCTGGCTATCGGATACCAGCGGTGGTTCAAACCCGATATTATCACAGGGGAGAACGTGATCATGAAGTAATATGGGGTAGAGGAATAATGAAAATCCTGCTGTTGAACAGAGTCAGGAGGTGCCAGCCCCACTGAATAAAAAACCCTCCAGTCTGCTTGCTGGCAATACAGCCGGACGTCGCCTTCAATTGCAGTCATTAGCACTGCACTACCTCAATTATCGGGCAACATTACTATATACGTGCTTGATATGGCGCTGCTCATGACTGGTCTAGCCGACCTTGATTTTCATGAGATGACTTTGGAATATTGGGCACAACAGGATTCCCGACAGCCATCCGGTACTCTATTTCCTAGGCTTTCTCACTTCTTGCTCTATGCCTGAACTGTCGCCGGCCCTGTTACCGTTAAACGATCAGTGAGCGGTATCATAGGCCAAAAGGCCTATGCAGCAATTTGGGCATTATGAAGAATGACTAAAGCACGGAAAGATAGAGCAGTAGAATGGCACGGTTACGTAAAAGTAATTATGATGTTGGTCAACGGATACCTTGCTGACGGGAGTCGCAATTGTCGAAAATCCAATATTGGATACAAATATGAAAAACAAATGTATGCCGAGACCCTTACGCTCCGATAATGTGAGGCAACCATCACTGCTTTCAGAGTAGGCCTGCTGTTTGGATCTGTCTTGGAAGCCAGGTAGTTTCGTTTGCTGCCACCCGTCATGTGACAGTAACCTACGGTTAGGAATATACCTGGGGTTTACCCCACATTTTCATACGCATTCATATAAGCAGGCCTGTGTACTAAAAATAAATATCCATATACGGGAAATCTCGGATGTAGTCTGCAGGTTTCGACGAGACCTAACAATAGGCTTTCTTAATAACACAACACTTGCCCCGAGTTAGCAACTACGGTTAGTCTGCGGCTGGCTTTGTTAGTGGTTGACCTGGTAGTAGTTCCTGTAGGCACTGTCCGCTCGGCGACCCCTCAGCAAAATTACTGTCCAAGGCCAATAAGATTGCCAATCGCACATGACTCTGCAAACCTGACCTAGTAATGCGGGGTTTGACGAGGCTAGTACAATATTGTCAGAATTCAGATGGACGAAATGGTAGCAGCATGTCTAGGGGGGGGATAAGCATAATTGCACATGCCATTGAAGTTGAGGGAGAATGCTACAAAACTAAGGAAGGCTTTTCAAAAGGTGTGAAAGAGTAGGTGTGAGCCAAGGAGACCGATACAAACGGCCTAGGACTGATACATGCGTGGCGGGTTATAAAACCTTCCTAAGTGGAAAGAGCCGCCATTGCAGCCAAAGTTGTCGAGAGCTTTTAAATAAAATTGAACAAATTAATGGGAGACTAACCGCAAAACTAGATAATGCGCACTTAAAACTAAGAACACGAACGGCAGTTTTCGCAGACAAATACACAGACAAACTGGCCGTCCACTCGGCAACCGCAGTCCAATTGGACCGATAAGACAAATCGAGTAAGCCGCCTTAATTTTATGCAGCACATTCTATATTATTGGTCAGTTCGCTGAACGTACGCTCAATGTTGCCAAGGCTTATTATTATAAATCCCTGAAATTTTTGGATAGTTCGGATGGTTCAAGAGAAAAAAATGGCTACTCGCAGGTTGATGTAAGTCCAGAAAGGAATGATTAACACGGCATCGGATATTTTTAGTCTGTTCATTTTCATAACACTGAGTTCATGGAAGAACAGTTGTTAGCTGTTGGCCGAAGAAATTGTCACTAGTAATGCGTATTGTAGAATCAGTCGATTTTTCCCTGGATGAGACCAGACAGGGGGATGAGAATCGCAGCATCACCCACTTAGAGTTAGTTATTTATTATTCTTTATAGTTTACTTGCTGTTTACACAACATAATTTAAATTCCGGCGTTCCGATGTTAAAACTTTTTGGGGCAAAAAATTCTGAAAGGATTCAATTTTCTTCCGCACAGCAGCACACATGGAGCCAAATAAAAATAGGAACTGTTTAAGGCCAGGTCTAACGTACACTTCATGAAGACGCATTCTAATATGGTTGTTTAAAAATGTCGGAGAATAAACCCGATCTTTCTACGTGCACTGGAGACAATCTGGGTGCACTATCGCAAAAGATTAAGACTCTAAGTGTAGGATACAACCACACTCTTGATACTGTCTGGCATATGTGGCCGTCAATGTTTAATTGTGGCTGGTAGTCTTCGCCAACCACCACAGTCTAGCATTTATGTCAAGAAGGAGAACGGCGCCATG